TGGGGACAGACCAGGTGAGGGATCGCCACAGGTGAGGGGACACCCCAGGTGAGGGATCACTGCAGGTGACAGGGATAGTCCAGGTGAGGGATCACCCCAGGTGAGGGGACATCCCAGGTGAGGGATCACCGCAGGTGACGGGGACAGTCCAGGTGAGGGATCACCACAGGTGAGGGGAACACCCCAGGTGAGGGACCACCGCAGGTGAGGGGACACCCCAGGTGTGGGGACAGCACAGGTGAGAGGGACACTCCAGGTGAGGGGGAACCGTGAGTTAATGGCATGATGGTCCCTGAGGACGCCCTCCAGGGTCCCGGAAGTCACAGGATAGTGGTGGTCAAGGGCAGCACGCTACCCCCCAGGAGGACCCTCTCTGCTGTCACCTTGCTCCCACATAGGGGGATAGGTGGTCTTTGTGACCAGGACAGGCATCTAGGAGGCAGAGGGCAGCGCCCCTAGAAGCCTGGCGCACTGTCCTGCAGGGTGAAGCTGGCCCTGGCCCGCAAGGAGGAGACGGTGAGCGCTCTGCGGAAGCAGCATGAGGTGGGTCCCTCAGGAGGAGCTGGGACCCCCGCTGGGGAGGGTGGGGGCACGGCCTGGGGCTGAAGGCTATGCACCGTGGGGTCCAGGCCGCCGTGAAGCGGGCTGACCATCTGGAGGAGCTGCTGGAGAAACACCGGCAGGCGGCCCTCACCGCTAAGTGACCAAGGGATGATCTGACCTGTGGTGGACCCTGTGGCCTGGAGCGTGGCGTCCTGCTCCCCACTCACCTGGGATCGGGGGCCTTCCCACGCTTTGTTTTAACAATAAAGGGCAGTTGTTTTTGTAGCTGGGCAAACCCTGTACTCAACTCTGTGTCTGAGTGATGGGCTGGGAGCCCCCATAGCTGGCAGGAGGCAGGCCCCGTGGAACAGCCAGACTGGCCCCTCTCCTCACCTTGCTGCCCCCACCCCAGGCCCAGGCGGCCTCACCTGTGTCTCTGTGCTGAGTTACTGTCCACCTCATGCAAACCCTGAGCAGAGAGAGAAGCCCTTTCTTCCAGCCTCTCCGGCCTTCCGCCACTTCCTCTCTCCCTTCTAGCTCAGGACTCCACTGGCCTCCAAGGTGCCCACTGCACGCTGGCCAGACTGAGCCGGCTGTGTTCCCAGGAGGGGCACTGCATGGTACCACCTGGATACCAGGCTGCTCAGGACCCCCCAGGGAGAGGGTCCACTCAGGCAACACCCACCCCGCAGAGGTTCGAGGCAGAGCAGCACTCGGAGGCAGGCCAAGGTTTCCCATCCTGTCAGATCCCTGGTGTGGCACCTCTGTGAGTCCTTCAGCCCTGGGGGCCTTTCCTTGGTGCAGATCCAGACCCCGTTTCCCCTGAGGCCTGTGAGGGACAGCAGGGAGGGGGGACATCATGTGCGTCTCCTCAGACCTGAAGGGCATAGGGCATCTGTGAGAGAGTGCGCTGAGAACCTCAGCCAGGAGCATGGACGGCTGGACGATGGATGTCTGTCTTCACAAGGGCCAAGGCCCTAGACAGATGGCAGACGAGTCCTCTCTATGTGTGGTGTGGTACCATCAGGCACGGTCCATGGTCCTACGGTGGCCAGTGCTGACCAGGTGCTTTCCAAACCTGTTCCAGTTTCCCACCTGGCCAGGGTCCAAGCCTGAGATCACTAGCTCTGAGCAGAGTGGACAGTCCCTGCTTCGTCCTCCCTTCAGATTGGCTGACCTTGGCAATGTGGGGTGGACAGGCCTTGGAGCCGTCCTGAGGCTGGGGTGAGGGGGACTCTGGGGCCGTCCAGGACTCCTGCGCCCATTTGCATGTGCTCTGGCCGGAGGCGTCCGCATTAGGGGCTGGGTGTGGGCAGGCAGACAGACAGGCCTGCAGGGCACTGCAGCCAAGGCCAGGAAGGAACAGACTGGGTGCCCTCCAGGCCAAGGCACCTGAGGCTAGCCGGGGCAGCTCTCTTGTCCTGGTCCACTCAGTGCTGTGACCAAGAATAAGCTGGCTATGGGTGGAGGGGGGCTGCTGGGAGAAAGTGCCCGTGCGCCACTCGGCTGAGTGTGCAAGTCAGGTGTGGAACCACAGACTGGTGTTTTTAGAGAGAGGTAGGTGCCAAGCCTGGGAGGACCCTGAGCCCAGGTTCCGATTGACAGGCCCCTTCATGCACCCCTCACTGAGTGCCTGGCACGGCCCCTCTTAGTGGGTTGCCCTTGTTTGTTTACTGAAATGTTCATTATCACAGATTATAATAAAAACACTTGAGGCTTAGGGCCTAGAACTTTCTGTCAGCTCCTGGTTTCTGTCCCTGGATGACACATGTTCTGTGGTGACTGAGTCTGGCCCTGGTGTGGTGGTGGTGACAGCTCACACGTCCTGAGCCATGTGTCTGTGGGAGGCCGGGGTGGTGGTGGACTATTGGGGTTGCCTCCCTGCTGGGCTGGCGCTTTGCCTAGACAGACACATGTGCCCTAAAGAGGGGGAACCTCGAAGCAGCTTTGCTTCCCGGGGCTGCACTGGTGTTGGCTCCGTGCTCTGTGGTCAGCTGTTGGGCCTGGCCTCCCCAAAAGGGCTCACATCACTTCAGTTGCCCCCTCAGGCATCTGGCACATTTAGAGGTGGGCAACTGGAGACCCAGCTGTTGGGAAGAGGGGCCAGAAGGCAGGACAGGTGTGCTCTTTGGGGACACAGAGGGGTCTGTCACCTGTGGAGGGTACCCCGAGTCTTCTCCATCAGGGAACCCAGCTCTGCACCAACTCAGTGAGGTTCAGCTGTCCCTCCATGTCCACAGAGCCCTGGTGGTAGTGGTTCAAGCACTCAGCTATTAACCAAAAGGTCAGCAGTTTGAATCCACCAGCTGCCTGGAAGAACAGTGAGGCAGCTTGCCTCTGTAAACAGCAGTCAGGAAACCAGGAGGCTTGTTGAGTTGGGGAGATGTGCTCTTGAGGCTTTCTTCATGACGTGCCGAAGAGCAAGGATGCCAGCGTACAGGCGGAAGTGCCCAGATCAAAGCCGCGGTGTTTGCGCTTGCTCCCTGTGCAGCTGAGAGCTGCATGTGGGAGGATTGATGCCTCTGAGTGGTGATGTTGACTCAGAGTACTGACTGTCTCATGGACTTTCAAAAGAACGAATGGTTTTCGTACAAGTTCTGCTAGGGTGCGGTCAGAGGCGAGGACGGTGAAACGCCATCCCACAGGCTTTGGGCACCTTGTCAGGAGCAGTCAGTGTTTAGAAAAAGACGTCCTGCTGGGAAAGGCAGAGGGGGAGAGAGGCTCTTGGGGAGATGGACACAGTGACATCGAGTGGGCCCGCGTGCGGCCGAGGAGGTGAGGAGACGCGGGAGCGGCCGGGGTTCGGCTTGCTTCTCCAGGCTGCTTTGCGTCATCCTTGACTTGACGGTACCACCGTGCTCAGAGAGGATACTCTACTCTCTTTTCAGTTCTTGTTCTGATTGAGCTTGCTTTGGGACCCAGGGTTTGGTCAATCTGCATGCATTTCGTAGTAGCTGTAATCGGCGCCCTCGGCTGTTAGATGGTGCTGTTTCCCGTCTCCTCGCCGATCCCCTCCTGCTCGCTCCGTCCGTTACTCGTTACTCGGATGCTGAAAGCCCAGCGTGCTCGCACCGTCGTCTCACTGTAGCTCCTTTGGTTTTGCTTGTGAAGATGTGCCTTTAGGTGCATCATTGTTGCTCAGCTCACAGCAACCCTTGAACAACAGGTCTGACTATTGGCCTGTCCTGTGCGACCTCACCAGCTCTCCTATGCCGGAGCCCATTGCTGCGGACACCGGGTCACTCCATCCTCATGAGGGTCTTCTGTCCTTGCAGACCGTCCACCTCTCCAAGAGGAATAGCCTCTTGAAGCAACATGTCCAAAATATGAGAGTCGAGACTTTGTCATCCTTGCCTCTGAGGAGCGCTCCAGCTGCCCATTTTCCAAGACATACCTGTCTGTTCTTTTGAGAGTCCATGGGCTATTCAGTGCCCTTCTCCAGCACCACAACTCAGAGGCATCACTTCTGTTATCTTTGTTCATTTTCCAGCTCTCAGATGCACAGCAAGTAACGGAAAAGACCATGACCTGAATCAGGTGCACCTTAGTCTTCAAACTGACATCACTGCTCCTCGGTAATTTGGAGAGGTCCCTGACAGTGGACCTGCGTACACGTTTAACTGGTTGTGTTTTCCTAGTGGGTGAACTTTTCATCACAGGATGGCCCTCTTTACCACACCCGGTGGCTCTTGCCTTAAAGCCTTGTTTATGTGGTAGTGCTTTTGTACACTAGCTTCTGTCTGGTGTTTGTAAATGTATCTCTGCCTTTCTCTTTACTTTGGGCTCTCTGTGGCCTTATGGTTGCGACATGTAGCTTGAAATCATCACTCTAATGTCAGGGTGTTGTATGGGGGTGGCTTGTGTGTTACCATAATGCTGTGATGCTGGAAGCCACATCACCTGTACTTCGTGGTGGACACGTTTCAGCAGAGCTGACGGGACTGGTGATCCACTGTCAAAATTAAAATGACCAGTGGAATACTGGCCAGTAGCAGTGGAACAGTGCCTGATCTAGACCTTGTTAGGTGGAACACGTGGAAATCAAACTGATACAGGAATCAAATCTATGGAAAGAGGTGATGACGCAGGTTAGGAACAAGGCGAGGGGCCAGCCGCAGAACTGACCATCAGTTGCTCATATGCAAGTTCAGACTGGAGCTGAGAAGAATGAAAACAAGTTCATAAAAGACAGATTACAACCCTGAACATATCGCACCTGAGTTTAGAGACTAATTGAACACTGATGACTGAGGAGTCGATGAGTAAGGACATCGTTTGTGAAAAAAATCAAAGGTGTGTTTAAAAAAAAAAAGACCAAAAGGAATGTCAGGAGAGACTCTGACATTGACTCTTGGATGTAGAGTAGCCAAAGAGCTCGACAGAAGGCATCAAAGGTCAATCCAAGCAAAGTGGTAAAATGTAAAAAGATCGGAAGTTAGAAAATCAAAGGGGAAGGAGCTGCTTGACCTTTCTCAGGCTGAAAGAACTGAAGGGGGAGGTCAAGGTTGCAAGGCTGGATAATTCTATGAATAAAATACTGCATGATACAGAACGCATCAACGGAAGATGGAAGGATTACACAGGGATACTGTACTCCGAAGAATTGGTTGATACTCAGCCAGAAACAATGGTACTGAAGGAAGAAGTCCAGGTTGCACTGAAGACATTGGCCAGAAACACTGCTCCAGGAATTTACAAAATAACAATTGAGATGCTTCAAATAAATGGACCTGCTGGAAATCGGGAAGCCACCTGGCACTTGGCTAACAGATTGGAAGACATCCATATTTGTGCCCATTCCAAAGAAAGGTCATCTGGTCTGGTAGGATATAGAAATACTGAATACTTTTATGTAAGGTTTTGGTGAATTATAATATGAAAAATGGTCATAGCAGCACATCAATAGGGAATTGCCAGAAACTCAAGCTGGATTCAGAAGAGGACCTGGATTAGAGATACCACTGCTGAAGTCAAATGGATCATTCAGTTGGAATTATGAGGAACCGGAACATAGGCTAAGAGGCAGTTGTTGGAACAAGGGAATGCTGTCTGCTTTAAGATCAGGAAAGATGTACGTCAAGTTGTATCCTTGTATATGTATTCAGTCTGTATGCTGAACTGGTAAGGAACTCAAGAACGTGGACTCAGACCACAAGGAAGC